AAAACACCTTTCTGCAGTTCAATCCAAAGATTGACATAATGTATCCTACGAGGGAGCATCTAATGAATATGGTAATGTAATTACAATCAGCTCATGGTTCCCTTGCGAAAGTCAAGTGCTTTACAAAGGACTTAATGTCAACATCAACCCTTTGCCAACACTGCAAATTTTTCAGTTATAAGTAAATATTTTCAATCTAGCTAGTCATAGTTATTCACTTGTTTATTCATCAACGAATTAATCATTCTCATTTTAAAAAAAAATCCAAGTAATAGTCCTTCAGATCATAATGATAAAAGCTATCGTTCAGGCAGCAAAAACCAGTTGACATGCATATTTTTTATATTTCTGAGAATCCGACAAATTCTTTTTCCAATGATGCAACGAAAAATTGGTACTATGCAATGTTCAATTTTGATGCTACATGAAGCCGTCGCGACCCTGATTATTCACGATCATTGCGATCATGATCCCAGCATTCTGTCTTCTCAGGCATTCGTGATCGCTTTCACAACGGACATCATTCCACGTCTTACATATCGGATTTGGTATACCTCGGACTTGAACTTACGCGGTTACATCAACGCTTCTCTCGCAGGTGATCGCAATCGCTTCTCGACGAGTAGTCAAAGTCAAATGAGGACGGCAACAAAATGTTTACTCTCGTTTCAGTATTCAACACCTCGGACTTCGACAAGGACTTCCTGTCCGATGAGTATATAAATGGGACGATGCCAGAGACGTGTCGCTTCCCGGGATACCGTGCACCCCGTGCATCCTCCAACCAGAATGGGCCGCACAATTCTTTTGCTGTCACCGAGGTGTTCTGGCACATGATCGCCTATCGTCTCGCCTTTGTTGTCATCTTCGAGGTCTGCCTGCCTTGTTCATCAAATGACATTTTTTCATGGAATCGTTGATTATGTCTTCTCCCACGAACTGATGGACTCACATGTTATATCGATGCTGTATCCCATGGAAATGCAATTATCGAGCGTAGAGAATTTTGGCACTTTCTGTAAAAAAAAAAAAGTATATATAAAATAAAAATAAAAACTCCATTCCGAATTCTAGCAGATTGGGGGGGGAAGCGTTC